ACCAATATAGAAACGCTGCAAAATCAAATGAGAATCTTTCTCTTTTTCAAGTTTCAGATAAGTCTTTTATAATAATTAATAATAAACTTTATTTTATATAGTGCCTTTAAAGGTGGCTTCTCAAAGCACTTTACATGTTGTTGTTGTTGTCAAGCAATAATTTTAAAAAATACACAAGATAAGCAGGATGAAAATACACAGTTAGAGGAGACAATAGATGGTGGTACTGAATAAAGTAGGTGCAGAGGGGTGAAGAATGGAACCAGTTAAGTAAAGGCTCTTCTAAAGAAAAAGGTTTTGAGTCTGGATTTGAAGGAGTTTAGAGAAGGTGACTCTCTGATATCCTTGGGCATGGAGCTTTGGGGCATAACAGAAGGCCCTGCCACCCATAGAGTGTAGACGGGCTTGGGGGACAGACAGGAGACCAGAATTAGAAAAGCGAAGGCTGAGAGGTGGGGAGTAGGGCGATAACAGCTCAGGCAGGTACTGAGGTGCCAAGCCATGCAGAGTCTTATAGGTGAGCATGAGGATTTTGAAGTCAACACGAAACTTGACAGGAAGCCAGTGCAGGAACTCCAGGATAGGAGTGATGTGATCACTTGCACTAGACCTGGTCAGGATTCTGGCTGATGAATACTGGAGTTTGTTCAGTGTGGATTTAGAAACCCCAGCGAGCTGAGCGTTACAGTAGTCAATTCGGGAGAAGACAAATGTGTTGATCAGCTTTTCAGTCACAGTTAGTGATAACATAGGGGGTAGTCTAGCAATGTCACTGTTAAGATGAAGGAAATTTTGAGTCATCCGAATTTTCTATCAGAGATTCAATTGGATAGAATAGAGACAGCCACATCAGTGTCAGGTTTGGTATGGATGTATATACTTTTGTAGTTAGTATAAAATGAAAATGCTAGTTAACTGTAACCATCCAGAATGGCTTCTAATTAAGAACTTATATTAAGCTTATTTCTAAGATTATAATTAATTTTGGAAGCCCATGCAGTAATATCTAGCTTGGGGAGATGCGCTGTGGCTGTTCTCGACAGTCACCCCCTCTGTGTCCACCTGCACCCCTATGGCTAACTGTGCAATGTCCCCGCAGAACCTTATCAACAGGATGTGGCTGGGCGTGCCCTCTCAGGACAAAATGGAGATCCGGAGCTGCCTGCCCAAGCTGCTGCTGTCAGAGCACAAAGCCCTACCCTACTTCATCCGCAACAAGTTGTGCAAGGTCATCGTGGACATCGGCAGGCAGGACTGGCCCATGTTCTATCACGACTTCTTCACAAACACCCTGCAGGTAAGCCCCTCCTTGGGACGTAGGGCTTTGTGTTGCAAGGACCGACCTCCAAGAACATTGTCCGTTTTCGCGTCGCGGTGCGATCGGGTAGGAATCGCAGATGTGGAATGTGGAAGGCAGGTTGTAATCCAGCATCACGTAGTTCTGTCTGTGTGTTTGGCATTCATAAAACAAAAATGGCCTAGACCTGAAATGGGCGAAGCCTGTCCGCAGGCGTTTTGGGGCGCTTGCCGTGTTATTAAGTTTGTCGTTTAGAAGCTGTTAAAATGTAAGAAAACGGGGGATCTGGCTTCTTAACTAATAATTAGTTTCAGTGAAGATCAGAGGAGGAATTAAAACTGAAGGACGTGATCGAGAAAGCAAAGGAGAGAGAGACCTCAGGCAGTAAAAACTAGACGGTGGCGAAGGGTTTCACCTGTTTTTTTCTCAAAGCTGTCTGATCCGAGTGTCTCATCTAGCTGCTTCCTGCGAGATTCCAGGGTAACATTTTCAGCCCCGTGGCTTGGTATTGTGATCAACACCACCAACAACTCCATATGAAGAAGCGCTTCTTTTTCTCAGTTCCTATTGCATATCATCTTAACGTACGTCTTTATCTTCTGGTCTTGTTTTCTCAGGGACTTTCCTTCGCATGAAACTTTTTGAAGTATCGATTAAACCCCTTCACTTTAGCTTGGTCTAAAATAGTGATGTTGTCAGACTTTCGTTCCTAATTCTAAACTACCTAGCATAACCCATCTTGAGCTTAATTTGACCAATTTACAAATGTTTTCAGCTGTTGATGATTTAGGAAACTGCTGGTTCTTGGCTTTCCAGGGCTGGGCCCTGTTGGTCAAAGATTTGCCAATCTCCCTGAAGCGCTTCTGTTGTAGCTGCTTCTGAGCTCAGCATCTGTTATACCTCAGCATATACTCCAAACAACGTTTCTAACACCTGGAATGTATTATTTATTAAACTGCCTGGAAGGGTCTACAAAACATGGTATTTTCAGTCCTTCCAGATTTAATATGTAAACAATTCAACACTTGACACTAACCTTTGCGTTTCACTTAAAAGGGAAATGTTTGATCATACTGAACATTTTCTTGGCAAAAATACCTACTCTCAGTTCTTTGCTTTATCAAGTCTGAGGAGAATTTACGGAGCAGATTCGTGTGAAATCCCTCTTGCGCACTGACGAGGGCTTCAGTGTGGTTTACGTGCCTGAAAGCTTCAGTGTCACTCTAGGTTCAGTGTTAAAAATAAAGCTTTAGAGCTGCATGACAGCTTTTTGTTCTGTAATACCACAGTTTGAGACGCGTGACTGCATCTGAGGAAAGAGCTGCAGAGCTCAAGGTTATGTTCCTAGTGGATAGCTAGACAGTAGTGAATACCATGGTAAATAGTTCATGTACTTTTAAAAACAATCTCCCGTAATGTGGTAAAATTGGTCTTGTTCTGTAGTTATACTGTGGGTAACCTGCAAGACGAAAATGGGTTCAGTTAAGATTTAAAGTAATAGTTAAATGCACTGTGGCTTTGCTGCAATGTAATGTTTCCATTCAAATTTTGAATGATAATGCTCCAGTACCTTCACATCCTCTGCTTTCTGAGAGTAACTTTAGATCTGCAGTACCCCAAGCTAACCGTGGTGTGCAGTTGTTTCATACTTATAATAATGAAATGACTGCAAGCTGCCCGTTTTTGTTGAGCAGTTTGACGTGGCTGAGCCGTCCCCTTTCAGATCTCTGCAGCTCTAATGCGTCAAAAACATTTTGACGGCAACGCAAATGAGGAAGCAGGGGAGGCCGAGACGAGCCGATGTGTGAGCCGTACCACAGATATACCTATGAAAACACTTCTTGATTACCTTTGATTTCTGTGCACCTTTAAATACCTGAAGAGCCTCCAGCACCCTAGGCATTTATTGCCTCAGTTAGAAGAAACTGCCTTCTGACATTCAGCAGTTTTTATTTGCATTGAGACCCCTGGGACCAGCCAGAGTGGTCAATTACAATCCGGTTACCAAACCTCTGCAAAAGTCTGCGATTTCAAGCTGATCTTTCAGCCGCTAAACTTTATATTGTAACTGCCTTACATTGCCTTTCCTAGTGCTTTGTTGCCTGTGTTCCACATAGCTGGAATTGACACACTCTCTCAGTGATGTTGATGGATTGGAGATTATTAGTGTAACTCCACTACAGATTGAATGCATTACTAATTGCACATGATGGTTTATATAAGCGTGCATATTCAATTTGTTTTCCATCTCGTAACGAGTGACGCATGCCGTCAAAATCAAATTACATTGTTAGAAATATGATTTATACATTTTTAATAGAAATTGCACCCCGCCATGCAGATTTAAACAAGATTGTGTCTCAGTCTGAGCCTCGGATCCGCATACGGCCTGTGCCAGACCGGGTGTTTCAGTCCGGCAATGGCTGACGGACCTGGCGTAACTCTGCAGCCTAATTCTGCGTGTGCATTCTCCTCACAGCTGATCCAGTCGCCCGCGATGGCCCCCCTTGGTCTGATCCTGCTGAAGACGACGTCGGAAGAGCTGGCCTGCCCGCGGGAGGACCTGAGTGTGGCGCGCAAGGAGGAGCTGCGCAAACTGCTGCTGGAGCAGGTGCCCACCGTGCTGAGCCTGCTCACCGGTGAGTCCGCGCCGGTGCCTGATGAGCACCACGCGATCGGCATGCCCGGGCATACACGGAGCCCACTCTTCCACCAGCGGTCAGCCCCGAGATGTTTCAGCCAAAACCGCCTTGTTTTGTATGCTTTCTGCTCAATTGCAAAATTGACAAAAAGGAACCTGCAGGCATAACTAAATCATTCAGTCTGTTTAAAGTTTAAAATGTAATACATTATTTACTTAAGATATGGGACAGTTGGGGTCTATCTTAACCAAATAATTGGGAAAACTGATAAAGGGTGCCAGCGTGTTGTCTCATTCCGGAAACGTATTTAATCTTTTTAAACACATACCGGCTTAACTAAAATCTGTTGTTTCACCTGGTTTGATAAAGGGTTCTCCAGTTTTCCCAGCGAAGCGCTTTAAAAAGGCCGTGTTGGAATCTGTCTTCGCATTTTTCAAGGGACAAACTTCAGCTGCTTTTCTTTTTGAAACTAAGAGGCGGAAAGCGTATATATTCTTCCGGTGCTTTGTGCCCGAGGGTTTGGTGATGGAAATGACTCCCAGTAACGCTGTCCCTGTGAACAATGGGGTGGGTATGCAGGCTCCGATGAATACACGCTGCTGATGCAGCACATTCAGCTCTGTGAGCTTGCACCAGAGGGAGTGCACTACAGAGCTCCTTTTTTCATCCGCATAATAGATTGTATGTTTTTTCATGACCCGGCAGGTATTCTGGAAACAATCTGGGATAAACACAGTGTTACTGCTGCCACCCCACCTCCCTCACCCACGTCAGGCGAAAGCGGTAAGGTTCACAAGCTGGAAATCTCTGCCCATCAACTATTTCTGTGGCCCCTTCAGGCGGCATTTTTCCAAAAAATCCAGATTTATAGCTGTGTGTTTGTTTGTGCATACGGGATATTTTGTCTGTCTTTGCACCCTGGCACGCACACTCAAACAAGATTGGGTAAGCCGAGCACGTGCCTAAGCACGCAAGACGGATTTAAAAATCAGGACAACTCTGAAGGGCAAAAACACTATTGCTTTGTATAACCGATCGCCATGATATGAGGGTTTAAACTCGTGCAGATCCTTTTTAAAAAAACAAGGGTTTCGAGGCTGCATTGCACATTCCTTGTTTGCTTCCTGTTTTGTTTTTAAACGTCTGCTGGTACGAGCTGACCATTCACCAGCGCTGGTTCTGCTTCCTCTTGCGAAAACCTGTCTGCAGGGGACCTGCTGAGCAGTCTGCTGCAGGGCCCGTACTACTCCAAGCTGCTGTCCCAGCCCATCCCGGCGCTGGATGAGGAGAGCCATCAGCTCTGCACCCTGGCCCTGGAGTGCCTGGCTCACCTCTTCAGCTGGATCCCGCTCTCCACCAGCATCACGCCTTCCCTCCTGGCCGCCATCTTCCACTTCGCCCGCTTCGGCTGCGACTCGCGAGGGAGCGGCAAGGGCAAGCTGGGCCACTCCACCCCCGTCCCCACCTCGGGCTCCGGCCCCCTGAACGGCAGCACGCAGGTCCCGGCGGGGGGGGCGGACGGGGCCCGGCTGGGCGTGCTGGCCATGACGTGCGTCAACGAGCTCATGTCCAAGAACTGCGTGCCCCTGGACTTCGAGGAGTACCTCCTGCGCATGTTCCAGCAGACCTTCTTCCTGCTGCAGAAGCTGACGCGGGAGAACAACGCCCACTCCATCAAGAGCCGGCTGGAGGAGCTCGATGAGAGGTGAGGGACCCCGCAGGCACCCCACCCCCCCCGCAGCCGGAGAGAGAGCAGGTCCTGTCTGGATTCTCTCGCGGGGGGGGGGGAATGACTTCTCAAACCCCTGTCGCCGTGCCGGGGGCTGAAATGTCTTTAACCGTCCAACCTGGGGCATTTCGTACCGTAGGCTGTGTGTTGTTTTTAGGAGGTACGTTTTTATCCCTAGGGCCCTGGCGGCTTGTGTTCAGACTGGCTGATATGGTTGTGCTGCCAGCGTTTTCGTGCTCCCAGAACACACGAGGGCCTTGCAGCTCGTGTTGCCTGGCTCTGAGGAATTCTCGGCCCTTTGGCGGTTGAGCGGCTGGCTTTTTTTATGACTAGCCCCCCTCTCCCTGGCCCGCCCCTTGCAGGCTGGCGCCTGCCTGGCAGTAGGAGAGTCGGGAGGGTGTGGGAGGTGAGTGGCAGCGTGCAAGTGTCAGGTCTGTGTCCTTTCCCTCCTGTCCCCCCCCCCCCCCCCCACCCCCAACCCTGCTGTTGTACCATAGGTGCTGTCTGCCAGGGAGGCACAGTCACCCGAGGTGCAGGTGAGGCATTTTAAATTCAGCCGTCGGAAGAGGCGTCGCGAGGTAAGGGGATCGCTGTGTTCCCTTCTCCAGGTCACTCTCCTGCTTCCCCGGCAGTGGGGTCTGTAGGATGGGGGGTGGGATCCGTGGGGGATGGGGGGCAGTATCTCTTTCTAATAGCTCCACATTAACCAAATAACAACTTGGTTATTTCAAGTCAATAGAGCGAATGAGCTCAGCTCACCGGCTAATCTGCCTTATTAATGGAGATCCGCCAGCCCTCTACCTGTTTTTGGTTCGCTGTGAGATGGCGGCAGTCCTTTTATGTGACTTTGGAGCCTGGAGTAGGACTGCAGGGGAATAGATTTCTGGTAATTAACCTTCTCAGCACCTTATCTCCTGAGCAGGACCAGTGTATGTGTTGCTGGTTCAATCCCTAAACCTAAACCTAAACCATTTGTCCATTTACCTAGGAGTCACATGTTTGACGCACAAAATTACAATTCTTCTTTTCACATAACCCTGATGGTCCTGTGGTTACTTTAGAGCCGTTTCCCCATACCTTCTGGATATAATGAGCCAGCGCTAAACCTAGAATGTAAAATATATGTTTAATAAATATTAAAAAAGAAAACTGTAACTGAGACCTTTAGGACAAGTCTGGTGGTTCCTTTTGGGACAGCATAGGAAATGACAAGCATGCACAACAGTGGTACCCTGGACTGAATCTGGCCTTTGCTGCCTGTCAGGTTGGACAGTCCAGACCTGTTACTTCCCATTTGTGCAGAAAAGAAATCCTGCAGTCCTTGAAAACCCCTTCCGTTTTTCTCTTCTTTTGTAAATTTATCTCCTCTCCTTCCTTATTTGTGCACTACGTTTGGTCCATGTGGCAGACCAAACTCTTCTACTTTTAGTGTTCAGGATTGCTTGAGACTCGTTTTAAGAAACCCATGGTCTGTAAGAGTGGGATGAGCTAGCTATTTGTAAGTAAGAGCATGGTGATCAGCAAGATCATCCGTAACAGGTCTTTGTAATTGGTTTATTGATTGCGGGAGACCTTGATATCGATGGTTTAGCTGCAGAGATGTAGCTCTGAGCAGTTGTGAAAGATCAGACAGGCAAAGAAGTTGTCCTCGGCCTACTGTAGCCATTTTTGAGAGCACATCAACACACTTGCAGCGATACGAACCACGTGGAGACAAAAGTCCGAAACATTTGTTCTGAAACAACCTCGAAACATACTGATTCGGCAGAAAAATATACTGCATTTCCATCTGGTGTATAATTGTATCAGCATTATTGCACATTAAAAATACCCACCATACTCTAGTTCTTGGTGGTGAGGCTGGGGTGGATGTTAACTTCTTAAAGGCGCCCTTGACCTTGCATGGTTCGGTCTCTTTTTCTCTGGTGTTTTCTGCCTGGATTTTTTTCATCCATCTCTTTCTTTGCAAATAACGTTTCTGAAAAAGCCTCCCTCCAGGAAGACTGAGGGGGGCGCGTTTTGCTTTTGTGAGACATTCCCGGTCGCGTGAGCAAGGCTGTGGAGCTTTGCCGGTCCTTTCCCTCCCTGCATCCCTGAACGGCTACCACACGAAGGAAAGATTTTTCTTTGCTAGTCTTGCTTCAGCAAAAGCGCTAGAGAATACTCAAACCGCATGTACACACGTGCAGGCCATTGGACGTGACTCTTTAAGTAAATGGCAGAATGGGTATCTTGAGGTTGCTCTGTGTGCAGGAGCCCATAGAGACGTGAGTTTTCATCTTTTGTCTCCACTTGGCTGAAAGTGGCTCTTGACTAGCATGTCTTTTCTGCTGTATTTCAGGTGTGTTTGGAGTGAAGGGTTGCCGGTCCCTTAGGTAATTGTTGAAGGGGTTTTATTTGTATTTAAAACTACTTTTAGTTTTATTCCTTTATATTCTGTAACTGGCTGCTTTTTTTTTTTGGTTGGTTTTGTTTTGTTTTTTTGATGAACGGAATTCTGAATGAGTGTGTCATTTCTAATTGTATACTTCAGAATTCTTCATTCAATACATTTGTTTTCCTTTTCTTGCACACGTGGTCTAACCTGTCCTGTTTTTTTTTCTTTATCTGCTCCTTTTTGACACGCAGCTACATTGAGAAGTTCACGGACTTCCTGCGCCTGTTTGTCAGCGTTCACCTGAGACGGATTGAGTCCAATGCTCAGTTCCCTGTTGTGGAGTTTCTAGAGCTTCTCTTCAAGTACACTTTCCACCAGGTACTTCGTTTTTTAAATAATAAGGGTCACAAATCTGGACTACTGGGCCCATCTGGCCTGTCTGTTGTATACGTTTTATTTATTCACAGGAACTATCTGGGTTTTTTCCACAATGAGCTTTAAAGAGCACAATGTTACATGTATGGCGGCACAGTGATTCACAGCATCATCACGGAGTCACAGAGTGAAGACTGAGAATTAGACCACTGTCTTGTTTACATGGAAATATCCAGATTAATTAGCGGTTCCAAGTCTTCAAACGTGAAAGTTGATCATGTCGGCTTGCACAAATTAAGTAACAGATGGAGCTTGGCAACATATTATCCAACGGCCTCTGACCTCAGATTTTTAATGTGTCTTTTAACCTGAAGTCCTGTGTTTGCAGCCCACACATGAAGGCTACTTCTCCTGCCTTGATATCTGGACCATCTTCTTGGACTATCTGACCACAAAGATCAAGAGCCGGTTAGCTGATCGCGATAGTGTTTTGAACAGGTAGGCCCGTTTTTGGAATTCCTACTTAAACTAGTGTTGTTTTCTTTGTTTATCAATTTAGCTGATTAAGCAGCCATTCTTTTTTCTGTCCATAGCAGCACATATCCTGCCAGGCGTCAGTAGAGTTGCATCAAAACAAGTTGCATTTCCCTAGCAGCTACATTTGTGTGCACATAAGTGATTCAAAGGAGTTTTAGGTTGTTTTGAATGTTCAGCATTTAAATATCACATAATCACACCCCTTAAGCTTCCCCCATCAGATACATGGCTTAGTTCTTTTTAGAAACCACAGTAGTACGAACTAGGCAGAGGAAACAGGTTTAAGTCCTCTGTATTTTATTCATTTTGTTTTAAATGGACTGTCGGGTCTTCTAAGGCTGTGATACCTTAGCTTACATGAACTTGTTCCCCCCCCACTACACCGACTTGTTTTTGCCCTAGCAAATAGGTGAGCAAATAGTAAGCTTTGTCAAAAGACTTTTTAAATGAGAAAGCCACAGTGCGGTTTCGTTCATCACGACGGCACGCATCACTTCCTGCTTTCTCAATCTCAAAGGGCTCCGCCACATCCTTTTTAAGCTCCCCTGAGCCTCATTGCCTGGCTGTGCTGGAGGAGTGCCTCTGTTAGCACACACAGATGGCCTGCACGCACCAATGACTGCCCGTCTGTGAAAAGCCAACTTGTGATGTCATTTCCAGGGCTACAGTCATCTGACGGGGGCACTTGTGGAAAACTAGACAGTGCTGATCTTGAGTTGGCTGTGCAGTAGTGTTCGTTTGTGACCTATATTGCACTACGACTCGTCTGCATTTAATTGCTGTTGTGAGAGTGAGCTGCTCCAGTACAGTTGTTTGTTCACCATAATAATGGTAGATCTCAAGCACTAGCAAGATGTGGAGAGAACAAACCCTGTTAGCCACAGATTTTCATCATGATAGTCCTGCCTTGTTTGCACTCTACCAGTTTGCTATCTGCTGTTCTTTTGATATACCGGATTATTGAGACAGACCGCAAAAAATATTTATATAGAATGCTTCAGGAGGAATCAATCTGAAAAACATGTTGGAGTTTTGACAAGCAATAAGTAATGTGAAGATATAGTTAAATCATTGCATGAGGTGCAGGTTTGTGCAGCTCTGTGGAGAGGGCAGCATATGGGTCAGATATCCATGTGTGCACCTGGGAACTTCAGTGTCTTTTTTTATTATTTTTTATTTTACATTTTACATGTAAACCACCATTATTCAGCCTTACTTTTACAGTACACTTTCGACTATACATCACAAGCAAAAATTGTCTATTCCTGTTTGTTCCCCTAGTATTTTACGGTTGTATAACTTTTAAACAAAGCTATATACATTCAGAATGAGGAAGATGTATACATTTATGAATATGAAAAAGGAAGAGACTATATAAATGTACCTCATTAAAATTTAGTTATTTTGTTTCTCAACAAATTCCGACCTTAAAGGTTTAATGTACTGAACCCATCTAGACCAATATTTGACAATTTGTTTCATTTGTAATTTTAGTGAAAATGTTATTTTATCCATTATATATATTTCTTTTATTAATTCAATCCAGTCATTCATTGTTGCTACATCTGGGAGAAGCCACTTTCTTGCTATAGCTTTCTTCCCTGCTGATTATAAGGATTTCAAACAAATATTCGTCAGTTCCACTCCAATCAAAATTAGGCTGCTTAGGCTAGTGTCCTGTTCTTGAGTCTGGAGTTCCCCAGGATTGTGGTGGAAAGACCTGGTCATTCGGAGACAGTGTATTGTGAAGCTCCACATAGCAGCGCTATGTAGCGTTCGGTCTACCAATAGTAAAATTAATTAGAAATCAAGCCGTAAACCAGTTCTCTTGACATTTTGAAACAAGGATGCAATTGAGATGGCATAGGGGTGTGGAAAAAAAACAACTCGCTTATACTTCCCGAAAGGAATAGAAGGTAACAGCTTCTGTTCTGTTCCGCTCAGGTACAAGGACGCCCTGGTGCTGCTGTTGCAGGAAGTGCTGAACCGAATCCAGTTCCGCTATAACCAGGCCCAGCTGGAAGAGCTGGATGACGAGACTCTGGATGATGATGTAAGGCACCGGTCCATTTCTCCTACCTATCTCAGCTGGGTGAGCTGTGTAGAGGATTGTTTGAGGGATGATAATATACTAAAGCAGCAAAACTGTGCATTCACACCAAGTTGGAATTGCTCGTTCACACATTTTAACTACCCAGAGCACCATATAACTGTATGTCTAACTGTAACATATACGGCGCACTGACATTTTATCTTCAAAATGTTAAGTCATAGATGTGGTAATAAGAATTGGTATGTTTGTGAATCTGACCGATTGGGATATCTCTAGCAATAATGTGCATCTCTGATTGGGTGAATTGCGTCAGTGATTTCTGTGGCCTTGACCCTCATCTCTGTATATGGTCTGCTCAGCAACAGACAGAGTGGCAGCGCTACCTGAGGCAGAGTCTGGAGGTGGTGGCAAAAGTGATGGAGCTCCTGCCCTCCCATGCCTTCTCCACACTGGTAAGTCTGGGCTCTTTCCTGGAAATGATGGATGACCAAATTTAGTGTTTTGAGGCTTTTTTCATGGTCTAACCATCTGAATGATGTGATTCATGTACCTTGGAAGTTATTCCTCTCAAGTTCAGAAATGCCAATGGTAATTTAGGCTGTCATACTCCATACTATCTTCATTTTACCAGTTGTGATCCCATATAGAAAGTCTTGTTGAGAATGTCAAGCAACTAGGCTGAAGTTCTCGTTAAAACTTTTGTTTAAAGAAGCTCTAGTTTGCATCCCAAACGGGCTTAGTTTGCATTAGTTCACATGTCCCCGTGTGTGCGTGTGAGGTTGAGCATTGTGGTTTAGCAGCATGTTAGGGACCCAACCTGGGATTAGCTCTAATGCTGAGCCTCCTCTCTCAGTTCCCAGTGTTGCAGGAAAATCTGGACGTTTACCTGGGCCTGCAGCAGTTCATCGTCACTACTGGGACAAGTGAGTACAGGCCATGTGTGATGTTCCTCGGATCTGCTGCCATTTTTACTTTTTTTTTCCGCTAATTTATGTTGATTAAGAAACAAATTACCCGAAGCAAAGAGCCCCTTGAAAGGAGATAAAATGCTGAGTTCCAGATACCATAAACCATACAATTTTTCTTGCAAGGCGCACATGTGCCTTCTCCTTAATGAAAATTTCTGCCCATGCATCTTTGACCTAAACATCCTAAACATGCAAGGAAAGAGTGCAGGGGCCAGAGGGTTTCGTTGGCCGAGGGGCAGTTTCTGAACGCGCATCAGGAACTGGCTGCCCTGTGTCTCCCCCTGCAGCTCGGAGGCTGAATATCACAGCGGAGAATGACTGCCGGCGGCTCCACTGTGCTCTGAGGGACCTCAGCTCCCTGCTGCAGGCTGTGGGGCGGCTGGCCGAGTACTTCATCGGGGATGTCTTTGCTGCCCGCTTCAACGACGCGCTCACTGTGGTGGAGAGGTAAGTGCCAGGAAACTCGAGAGCACTCAGCCTGCAGCAGCAGGCCGTCTGCAGAAACCCACCGTGCTGTACTGATGTAGCGCTGTTTAGGAGGCACAGTAGAATAAGGCACAAATTCTACATTGAGATTCGACTTCCTTTAGTTTTGATTTTCTTCGGCTTTGGAGGCTAAAATACTGCATCCACGTATGCATTTCTTAATTCCGATACTTGTGGTTTATTGTATATCTAACGTGGAAGCTGAAATAGGAATTAGTTGAGGATGCTTATCCATTTGGCTTGTACAAAGAATTTATCTGGTACTTCAAACACAAACTCCATCAGGTGTTTTTAATAATTTAGTGTGCTTATTACTGTACAATCTCTTAAGGAAGTATTTTTTAAGAATTTAGTGTGACTTTGGCACAGAAGTTGCTGAAGTGGTTTCTGTGTATCGCTGAAACGTTGCATAATACATTTTGCATTTCCTTTTTTCATTTCATGCAAACAAATGGTTTTGAAAGGTTATGCAAATGGGGAAAAGTTCATTTCGGTCGATTCGTCTGGAATCTGCCCTTCCGCGGAATTCATCTCGACTTAATCCCCGAAGAAATTGGATTTATAATGAGTCTCTCAGGGAGGCAAATTACCAAGTCCTAGAATACTGCTATTTGTCAGTCTCCCCATGCAGCAGTCAGGACTGTTACTCGAGAGGTTCGATCTCTAAAGCAAAGAACCCGACCTGAAATGCACAGCAGCTTTCCTGCTGGTCGGGCTCGACGGAGCCAGGGGTTTGAGCTCTCTGCCTCCTCTCCTCCCTGCGCAGGCTGGCGGACGTGACCTGTTACGGCTCCCAAATCAACCTCTACGACCTGGAGACGGCAGTCCCGTCGGTGCTGAAGCCGGACCTCATCGACGTGTGAGTATCCGGGAGCGGGGAGTCCCAGGGGGCCCGACGTCTTGAAATACCTTCAGTGTTGAGCCACAGCTTTACAGTTGAGCTTGGCTCCGATGAGCCTCGAGCCCCCGGTATCTATAGTGGTTCACTGCAGGCTGCCCTCAACTCGCGTCTTTCAAAGTTCTGTAGTTCGGGTTTCTGCAGAGGTAGGTGTTGATGCCCAGGGATCCCAAGTGGTCCTTTGCATCAGAATGGTTCTATAGCCCTGCCATAGCAAGAATCTGAGGAACGAGTGGGGAAATCCTAAAGGTGTGTGAGGAATGTTGGTTATTTCATAGGGGTAGACATATTTATAACCTAAGTTTCAGGGTAGCGTGAATTGGTTTTATCACACGAGATTGGTCACTGCCTTAAAAAGAGGAAGAAACATCTATTTCATTTTTAATTGACAGACGCCGATAAGAAGCTGTTACTTTTTCTTGCATCTATTACTCATGTTCTCTCATTTTTCCTAGTTGCCAGGGTCAGATATTTTTTTAGGAGTTATAACAAGCAGTGAGGATGTGCTTTGGCGAGGCTGGACAAGCTTGTCTGACACTGCCCTGTCTGACGCGCGTCTCCCCTTGTGTGTCCCAGGCACGCGCAATCCCTGGCGGCCCTGCAGGCCTACTCTCACTGGCTGGCTCAGTTCTACAGCGAGGTGCAGCGGCAGAACCAGGCCCGCTTCGTCACGCTCATCACCTCCGCCATGGACGCCACGGCTCCCCTTATCAGCGCCAAGGTGCGGCCCCTCAGCGCTGAGCAGCAGGATGGCTCCGGTGGCCATTTTCAGCGAAAGTCGCTCTCCTCCAGAGTTGGCCTTTCCCAGCGTGCTCGTTCCCGAGCTCTCAAATTGTTGCAAGATTGAGCCTGAGCAATGGTCAGAGTGGGTCCATTTTCTAAAATGGTGACACCGCCGCAAAGCATGCAGCTATTTACAGTGCTCCTCTTCCCAACAAGAAAAATGGAAGGGAAGCTTTACCTAAAAAAACAGTTGTTAAATCTGGAACGAAAAGAAATCGCCACAAACACAGTTAAAACTGTACACGTACTATGACACTCCAGAACATTCCACTATCTCCAACACATCCAACTATCCACCAACCAACCAACCCCTTCTGGCCTGAGGAGCAGCTTATATTGTGTTTAAGCCCCTCTCCCCCTGGAATGAACCATTATCTTTTTACATAAAAAAATAGTTCGCAATTCTGCAGTTCGTTCAGATTATTCACAAAGGAAAGAGAAGACCAGATATATCCAAAACAACATTTTACCACTTCTTTTTTTTTTTTTTACTGTTTTCAAATATTAAACAGAAATGGAATTTCCCCCTTTCCACATGCATGTGGTTCTTCCCTTAACACTATAAATATACCTCTAGAACGGGGGTTAGGTTTGGCCCTTCGAAGCCACCATAGGCTGGCACAACCCGGACGTCTCGAACAACAAACAGTATCATTGAGTGAGCGCGCTCTCCATTCACACAGTCGCAACACTCAATCAAATGGACAGTTACCACGTATGTTTCTGTATGTATCTGTGCCTCCAATTAAAAAAAACACTAATAACAGCAGTCACTAGTCACCAGCCAAACCCCGAGTGTGCACCCTCAGGAAATCGCTAGCAACTGGTTGGCAGAAAGTGTGTCATTTGTATTTTACAGTGCTACCTGTGCCTCCTCTGTCACACACATCCATCATCATTGCAGGCCTGGCCCGATTCTGTGAATGTCCAGGCTAAATTGAGTGGTCGCCGGATGTCCTTGCCCTCGTACCCGGTTCCTTTCGGGGGGTCCCCGTTCACCTCCCACTGTGGGGACCCTCTCGTTGCAGCAGGTCGAAATCTTCCCATGTGCTCACATAGCTGTCCCTGCGCCGCCCGTTCCCCTAGGTACCGGAGAAGCTGCTGCTGTCGGCCTGCCACTTGATGGTGTCGATAGCCACCACGGTGCGGCCTGTGTTCCTGGTGACCGTGCCGGCCGTGCAGAAGGTCTTCAATCTGGTCACGGACAGCTCTGCGCGAGGGCTCCCCCCGGAGGTGAGGGCCTGGAACTCTCTGAACCCCGTTAGCCACTTCAGCGCTCTGGCAAACATCAAGAGCTGATTGAAGTGGAGAGACCTTGTCAACTTGAAAGGCACTTAAATCACCAAACGTGTCTCCTGTTTTCGGTTAAGCAGTCATTTAGTACTTATTGAGTTATGCACTCAAATTCATATTAATGAAATTAGTAACTATCTTTACAAAACCCTTTCTCTGTAAGGGAGAATTTAGTTAAGTATGACCTATTTTCACTCCTAAATTCCTTGAGATACGATTCATCTAGTGCTTGTACCAATGTGACTTTGGAACCTTTCTAACCTGATTTGCATGTAACTCGATAAATTAATGTTCACGTTTACACAGTGCATACTGTGGTATGTCATTTACCGATGCTTATGTGTAGCTCAGAAAAATGGTCACCATCGTTAACACACAGTGCAGGAATGTGAGCAAAGGCTATAATATGTGTATAATATTCCCCTTATTGACTGTGGAGGCCCTGCTGATCACGTGGATTTGATGCTGAGTAGATGAAATAATCAGGGTAACCATATGTGAAGAGAAGGAAAAATCCAGCAGCCCGAGAGTCGGTAGTTTAAAGTTACTAAACGTCGCTTCATTTCATTTACTCTCGACCATGGGCAGACATCTTCACCCTGTCCCCTACGTGGGAGACTAGACTGTTCAGCCTGCAGGTTGAGCTTTGTGGTACAGATGTGACTGCCTTGAGCCCAGGTTAAGTCTCTAGCCTTTCTTCGATGGGGGGAATCTCCTGTACTGTGGTGCCTGATTTAGAACCGCTCTTGGTGTAACACTGACTCATGTAACACGCTGGACACCCTGCGATCTGCCAGTAAAATCTTCGAGAGACGGAACTGCTCCTCCAGTCAGCACTACCTCTCCTGTCAAGCGTTGGGGAACTGTTGGACGGATATGGGGTTTTGTAACAGTAGCTGTGGTTGTTCCTGATGTGTGCTTATGTGTTCTCAGGCTCAGGTGTTGGTGTGCAGAGCCCTCTCCAACATGCTGCTGTTGCCCTGGCCCAACCTCCCCGAGAGCGAGCAGCAGTGGCACACACGGTCCACCAACCATGCCAACCTCCTGGCCGCCCTCACCCGCCACTACCGCCAGCTGAGGGGCACCGCCAACCTGCAGCAGAGGCGTCTGGGCCTGGAGGACTGTGAGTGCATTTTCTGTCTCTTGCCTCAAGACACAGTTTGTTCAAATAACAGCGCAAGCCAACACCTGGGGAAAAGTAAACCCTTTTCTGAATGCAGTGAAAGTATTGTGATTCCTGGGTGTATCCCAGTGCTTTGACTTTGGTCCCATCTGTCTTTGCAGGTGGCCCCACAGGGCAGATATAGTTTGCTTGACCCTAGTCTTCCATTGTCCAATACCTCAACAGGGCAGGGCACATCTGAGTCAGTCCATCTTGCCAACCACACCTGTGTGTGAAAAACATGTTCAGAACTTAAGGCACCACAATTCATCATTTCAACATTGTTTATGAATTTTATATTTAAAATGCTTTTCTGTTAATGGATGTCGTATACCGTTTGTCTTTGTAGCCTGCGACGTGCTTTTAATGTTAATCTAGAGAGAGTGAGCGATAGACATGGGTACAGCACATCAGAGCTGAGTTAGGTCACAGCTAGAGTAATTCCACAGTGGAAGTGATTCTGAAATTTGAACGGAAATATCCTGAGGCATTATACACGCAATGAATGTCGAAACCGGTAGCTTTTATTATTGTGTTTTAATGTTTCTCAATATAGTACAGAAGTAAAAAAAAAAGACTTAAAGGAGATGTTTCAAGACGACAGTCCAGTTCAAGATTCAGGCCAAGAGCTTTATTCCAGAAAACCAGATTATCCCACACACCATTGCATTTCTTAAAGAAAACAAATCCCTGTTTGCTTACCCAGAGCTGCCTCACGGCAGGTGAAATGCTGGAAAGACACAGAGTTACATTTCAAAGAAATTTTCTGCTTAAAGGGACTCTCATAATGGATCCCAAATAAATAATTCATGGTCTCTGTATTTTTAGCAGTCATGCACCACTCGCTTCTTCCTGACAAACCTCTTACAGAGTGCGGTTTCCATAGCACCTCTGTAAAAGTCCTATATGAGGTCTAACACCTTCTCCAGCCTACACACTAGCACTACTAAGGAAGCAAGACAATACAATGGCACCACTCTCGTGCAGGATCTCGGTTGAGTTATTGTTGTGAGAAGCACAGCAGCCACTTGTGAGCTCACCCCTCTCGCGCATTTAAAGACAAAAGACAGTGGGGGCAGATTGGCGTGAAAGCGACAGATGTTTTACCTCGTGCTTAAATTATTTATTACATGGGCGGGGGTTCCAAGTGGCTCACCCAGTAGTGAAGCACCCACGTCGCAGGTTCGAGCCTGGTCACTAGCCGACTGTGACTGGGATTCCCTGTCCAGGGGCCCACAGTTGCCAGGGCAGTGCTGCGATTAGTCAGCCTTGATCTGTGCCCGGCAGCCTTGAGGTGACACTGTGGGATACAGTATCAGCAGATATTGCAGTGAGCTTATGGTTACATCTTACCCATGGGCTAGAGTACAAATGGGTGAAGCACCTCGTTCAGAGTTAGTGTCTGACCTGCGCCCGACGTGGGAGCCTTCTGGCTCCAGCATTAAGCAGGTGATGTATTATTGTGCTTGTGGGGAGCTCTGCTTCACAAGGGTCTTCCCCTGTCCATTGCAGTGAAAGCGGTCCTGCAACAAACACTGCGAGTCCTGAGGGACGTAGTGGACAGCATCTCGGGGGAGTCCACCAAGTCCCGGCAGGTCTGCTACCAGTCGCTACAGGAGTCCGTGCAGGTTTCCCTCGCGCTCTTCCCCGTCTTCATCCACCAGCCAGGTACGGCGCCAGTGTCCTGGGGAGTCACCTGTCGGACGTTTCTGCACAGGTTCCAGTGACATTAAAGACTGTTGATGGAATGTATGATGAAGTGGTTGCATGCTGAAAACTAAAAAAAACATCACTATGAAATTCGCTAATTACTTAGTCCCTGAGCATCTCCTTCAATAGAGCGTTTGAATGTAAGATGCTTGAAAAGGAGAGACATCTTGACCCTCTTTGTGTGCTGCTGGTTTTTTATTGATGAAAAAGACCTTTTATGCTGCTTCTTGAGGGAGACCAGTGAATTACTCTAAGCCCGGTTTCATCATAATTGTATCCTGTCTGAAACCCTTTTTTTTTCTCATCTTAAATGAGAAGGCACTCCAGCTCTCACCACAGACATCAGCCACTGGGATTTAATCTTGCTTCTGAAGCAATAGCTGCAGAAATAATGTTTGCACTGTAGCTTCAATCATCTTTCAAAGAGCAAGTTTTCTTAGCAGCAATGGTGTTTTGCTTTCCAGATGTCACAGACGAGATGCTGAGTTTCTTCCTCACTCTGTTCCAAGGCTTGAGGGTACAAATGGGAGTTCCCTTCACGGAACAAATCATCCAGACCTTCTTAAACATGTTTACCAGGTACTGCTCCTCCAGACGTTCTAGTGCTGCACATCTGCCCGTCTCAGAGCCAGGTTTCATTCATTTCATTGCTCTGCGATGCACCACTTCAGGAAGAGTCAGCAGATCTTGTTGGGTGGTTGTGGTGTCTTTACAGTTGGTGCAATATGCTGTCTTTTCCTGTAGTCCCAGTTTCCATCTCTGAGCTAGTGAGGTGAGGGGCTCTGGTGAATTGATTCTGCTAACACACAGTCCTGCTGTGTAGAAGTTTGGTCATTTGTACTTCTGATTGGCCTGAAAGGGACGAATAAGCATCAGTTGAATACTGTCTAGCTGGAAAAGGAAGTGGATTTTTTTTCCCCAGGCTCAAGGGACTGTTTATGATCCCACCATTTGTCGCGTTTGCTGGACTCCTAGCAGAGATTAATCGGATCTGGGAGAAACTTTAGAGCTGCACATGCAGTGTGGTATCAGCTTGTGTCGCGACAGGTCTGTTCACTGTGGTGAACGGCTCAGTAAGATCGCTCCTCTCTGTGTGGGTGTGCAGTGTTCCATGCCTTCGTTTCTGTTACTCGTTGTTTGTGAACCTGTGCGTGTGGAAGTGTGCTGAAAACTGTCTACTTCATGTGTTTCAGTGTATTTGTACATGATGAGACAGTACAAATAGATGGATGGGATAACTTCCCTTGATGGTATTTTATACAATGTCTTGTGGCTGTATTGGTGTGATTTTTTCATGCATCTTGGTGTTTGTGTCAGAACAAAAGAAAAATAAGCAGAAAAGTTTCAAATTTCGGATACTTACATCAGAAAAACGGTGACGGTGAAGAAACTGAAATTCCCTGGCATTTGAAACATTTATTTGAAGTATGGAAAATAAAACCAGATTTCGGTGAATTGGTGGTGGTTCACTTTGCTGGTTTCGCTTCCTTTGGTACTTGTTAGCGCAGCAGTGTGTGGAAGGGAGGGGGGCGTGCTGATCTCTGTGCTGTGGTGGCCGGGCCGCGCCGTGTCTTGACCGTGTCTGTGCCGTCCAGGGAGCAGCTGGCGGAGAGTATCCTCCAGGAGGGCAGTGCCGGCTGCAGGGTGGTGGAGAAGTTCCTGAAAATCCTGCAGGTGGTGGTGCAGGAGCCCGGCCAGGCCTTCAAGCCCTTCCTGCCCAGCATCATCTCACTCTGTATGGAGCAGGTCTACCCCATCGTGGCCGAGGTGAGTGCGGGGGGCGGGAGAGGGGCCTCAAGTCTTTCAAGCGCTGTCTGGGTTTCTACTCATTTAGTTCTCATTCGCATTTAATGGTTGAAAACCCGTGGGAACCAAATCCAGTTCTACAGACATTTGCGATGTCATTAATAAGATAGAAATGATTTCGAAGCCTTGAGAGAATCGTTTAATTCTAATAACTTAAACTGAACTTTTTTATGGGCGAAAGTGAAGAGGCAGTGACCCTCTGTACAGCATTCGAAACCTCTGGCTTGGCGTCTGAAGACGACATGCAGAGGATGACGTGCTGACAAACTGCGAACACAAAAACGTATTTTTCCGCTTGCTCAGAAATGTCCCTTTCTTGCCTTTTCTTACTCAACCACTACAATTTCCTTTCGATTCAGTGGTACGTCACTTCACAAAAAAAGATATTGATGTTCCGATTAGCAGATTTTTTCAGAGCTGGGGAATATTTTGCACTAAGACCTTTATATGCTAAACTAGAGTTGCCAAGGGCATTGTAGAGCACTGGAACTTGGGACACTGTGCTGGTAGGTGGTGCACAAGTTATAGGGGTATTGCTGTATTGAGCAGAGCTAATGGAACATCATGCCTTCTTGGTCAGGAGGGTCTTGCCAGACTTGACCTAGTTTGTGTGTGTTAACAGCGTTCCTCTCCAGACGTGAAGGCAGAGCTGTTCGAGCTTCTCTACCAGGTGTTGCACCACAACTGGAGGTACTTCTTCAAGTCGTCTGTGCTGGCCAGTGTTCAGAGGGGTGCGTCTGAGGAGCCCATGGAGAACGAGGCCCAGTTCATCGCTGTCATGCAGGTGAGGAGTTGAGGGGGCCAGTTGCATCAGTTTCCCTTTAGGTTGGCCCTTAACTGTTTCTTAACACATTAAAATGCTATGTATGACTTAGTTGAGATAAAGCAGGTTCCATATATGCTGAGCTTTAAGAAATTCACAAAGTTATCTGGAAAAAGACCATCTTTTTCTAGCCATTGTACTTGCATTTTATTGGACAGACATGACGCAAGTAAATGCATTATGCTGTTCAGCTTTTGTCATCAACAAGGGCTGGATTGTGAAAGGCTGTATCTGTGCCATGCATGCTTTGCACTAGTCTACAGATGCTTTCCTTAAGTCCATCGGATTCTGCCCACTCCTCTCGCAGAACCAGCACAAGCATGCGCGTGATCGATGGAGCTCTAGTCTGGCTAACGGCATCCGTGGCATGGTTGTTATATCCTTATTTTCCAAGAAATCTTTGAATATGAGCATCTTGAGGGAATGCGTAATCCTCCAAGAATGTCGTCACGTCGGGATGAGCCTGCAGCAAGTTCGGCCTCAGCATGCAGTCAGGTTCCCATCAGTCATGCAGAGGTATCATGAGACATAGTCTCTTAGATCATGGCCTTGCATGGATGAACTGTATTTGACAGTAACTCTTCCTAAATTTAAGCTGCTGTTTGCAGACACTCCGGACAGTGAGCAACTAGTGTGCTGTCTAGCTTAGTCCAGCCTCCAACATGTAGCAGTAAGGCATTGCTCTCTTGATAATTGAGGCATCGTGGTGGCTTTCTGCTTTTCTTGCTTGAGTTTCAACAGGTTAAATCACCTCGTCACTTGTACCCAGTAAACCACTAATGTGGTTGTTCAGTGCTTAAGCAACAAAGTGGGTGGAATGTATCATCATCATCGGTGATGATTACCATTAATCAAAATAACTGTAAACATATAATCAGTATCCCAAATCCTTGTACTTCTTCTAAAAGCCAACAATGATAAGTTGTAATGTTTAATTGATGCTCAGTACATAACACATAAGCACTGATCCCTGAAGGTGTTTTCTATTTAACAATTATATTTCAGAGTTCATGGCACCAGTCTATATTCTGTGGAAACTCTCGAGTCTTTCCTTCCCTCATCCCTTGAGATGCCTTTGGAATATAACCCTTCATCTCACTGTTACTCATCCTCTGCAGTAGTAGTTTTTTTTAGTAAAAACAAGAGGAGAGTACGGGATATTGGAGAAAATGCCCTGCTGTTCACACTTGGTATTACGCTTCTAAGAATGGAGTATTTCTGTGAATGTTTAGATATGTTAATAATTTTAGAGGTGAAATGCTGCCCTCCAGTGTTACTTTTGAAGTGTAATAATTTTTTTACAGCAGATTAGGAATACAATTGAAGGCACAGTGCCCAAGAAGATTTGGCACCTTTAGATATTATTTAATTATATTTATATATAATTAAAGATATTATTTATCTTTATCATATTAATGTAGAAATCATACTGCAATCTGATATCAATAGCAGTGCAATTACTCTCTGCAGAGTTGCAAAAGTTACCAGTACAACTTGTGGTGACCTTCATCCCATATCCTAGCCTAGCAGGCCACCATGAGGTCCTCTTTAGCTGCATAAACGGTTTCATCTCCTCCCTTCACCTGCCCTGTCCTGTGATTGAATAGAACGGTGCTGTTTTCTCACCCTGACTGATGAATGTGCTCCCTAGGCTTTCGGCCAGTCATTCCTGCAGCCTGACATTCACATCTTCAAGCAGAACCTCTTGTACCTGGAAGCCCTCAACAGCAAGCACAAGCTATATCACAAGGTGAGTGGGGAGCAGGGGGCCCAGTTCACACTGGCTGCATCCTGCAGGACTGCTCTGGGTTTCTTTCCATCATAGCGGAGCACAGATACAGTGCAGTATAGATATGCCGATTAACTGCAGGAAGCCAGTTCATGCTGTTGACTCTTCAAATTCAGTTGACACCAGCAACAACAGCCTAGTCTAGTTTAAAGGAGGTCTCCAGTGCTAATAGTTTGGGAATTCGCTAGTGACTGTCCAGGTCCGTCTGTACAAAGATAATTTTATGCTTGATTTTGTGCATGCTAAAAGCATTTAATCCCAGTATTATATGTACAAGATCCCTCAAATGGTTTTAATTTTTTATTCTAATTTGTAATGACTAAATTTTGGGGGAATTTGCAAAAATCAACCTCAGCCAAGATATTCTGGGGGAGATCTCGGTCTTGTTTTTGGACTCGACAGTCCCCGTTTATGGGCTGTCAGTGCCAAGAAACAGGCACCGCGATTGAAAGATGCGCGACTCGGGTCTGTCTGTCCTGCAGAAGCTGTTCCGCACCTCCATGCTGTTCCACTTCATCAACGTGCTGCTCCAGGTGCTGCTGCACAAGAGCCACGACCTGCTGCAGGACGAGATCGCGCTGGCCGTCTACAACATGGCCTCCGTCGACTTCGACGGCTTCTACTCCGCCTTCCTCCCCGAGTTCCTCCACAGCTGCCAGGGCGTGGACGCCAACCAGCGCGCCGTGCTGGGCCGCAATTTCAAGATGGAGCGGGTAGGTGGAGCGGGCACTCCGGGAGGGCACGGGGAATTGCAGCGTAGGCACAGTTCTTAATATGAACAGAAGCTCCGACACGTCCGCGTCATTCAGGCTCATCGATGAATCTGCCTGAACCGTTAATAAACGGTTCTATTATCTTGGGTTTTGATTTTTTTCAAACAGTGCGCATTCCCATTGGTTCTTTTTTTAGAACTGTTGAGTTGTGTACTTGTCAGCAGGAAGGTGGTGGATTTTTTTTAGAAAAAGAACGTGGTTATTACTTTCCTGCTGTTTCCCCCCCCCCCCTCAAAATAACTCAAATCCTTCTTTCGTGGCTTAACCTGATCCACATTGGGGAAAATTCCATCTTGGAAGTGTCCTAGCCTTCGCAAGAGGAGCCCCCGAACAGTGCTTTCCAAGTTAGACGCAAACAGCTTTGTTTCCTCTGGCCCCGCTGACCCGCGTCCGTGTCTCCCTCCGCAGGACCTGCCCTCCTTCACGCAGAGCGTGCACAGACTGGTGAACGACCTGCGCTATTACAGGCTGTGCAACGGGAGCCTGCCTCCGGGGACAGTGAAGCTATAGCAACCCGCCCCTGCCCTGCCCTGGCCCGGGCCACCGCCGGGACACTGTCCGGCCGCCAACCTCCCCAGCTGCTCCCACGCTGCCCCTCTCCTGGCCTGCACGGACGGGCGGCCTGCGTTTCGGCACCCAGGGACTGGCTACTTCACATTGTGGGGTGGGGGTGCACCAGAGAGGGGACAGGGGGGCCAGGCTGGGTCTCTAGCACCTTGATGTCTACAACTTTCTGTGGATTTATCCCGTTTCAGCTTTAGGGCTTTTGGGGGTGGGGGGGGGGATGGGGGCGTGATTAATTATTGACCTTCATGAACGTCGATGCCAACAATCAAGAGAGGCCAACAGGAAGCCAGTGGAGTCAGGCCTGTGTCATTCCACTGCTTCGGAGGGAGGGCAGTCTGTTTCAGCACTTTTCTGACTTCTTAGAGGTTGTTTTAAATTTCTTTTTTTTTTTTTTTAACGTTGCCTTCAGTTTCTTCATCTCCAAAGGAGACTTGCAGAAGACTCGGTCGAATCTGCGCTTTGTTTTAAGTTCTGATCATTCCATTCTCATTCTGAAGAACTGTGCTTAATTGTGCTCGGTATACAAACTCATTTTTGTAAAATAAATCCAAATAGGTTGTCTTTTTATTTTGTCATTTTTTTTTATTTTGCATTTCAGTCGTCGTTAATATTTTTATTATGATTGTCAATTTGGACTGTGGCTGTTTTAAATAGAATGTGTTCCCCTTTTAACCCGCTACGGTTTGTACAGTTCACTTTATTAAAAGTTGAGGACGTTTTGTTTAAATGTGGAAAATGCGAACTGGATTATTGGCGTTTCTTACTTGGGGAAAACCTGATGGTACTTGGAAAATATTGAAGAAAGGGTGTTCTTCAAAATCCTTGCGAGAGCGTTGAGTCCTGGTCAAGTGTGTTGTCTGTGTCCCTGCCTGAACCAAAGGATTAATGGTAAACCTTTCTTAGGGTTTATACTGGGAGCTAAGCTAAGAATGGCTGAATACTGGTTTCCAGCAGATACATTTGAAAAGGCAGCATAAAATGCAGACAGATTATCACTGGGGCCAGTGTGTAACTTAAATTAGGTTTCCAAACATAATGTTTTTAAAAATGATGGGTATGAATTGTATTTATATTTTTTCCTATGTGATTTATTGCAATGTTGAGAAAAATTCAGTTTGAAAGTTGAAACAGTATTCAATAATTTACAGTATTGATTGCTTGTTTAGATGTGGTGGACTGATGGACATCTACCTGTTCTGCCCAGATCCCATGGAGTCAACAGTCTCCCAGATAGCCTTGACCATTTCTGTGAAAAAGTGACTCCTTCAGTGGTGCTGAACACACTAGATCTTCATTCACCTTGCCTTGTTTCATGTCATATTCTGACAGTGATTTAGTATCATTGCCAGTGTTGCTGCTGTTCTGGGGGTATTTTGTAAGCCAGGTCATCAGTAGTTTGCTATAATTTGTGACTTGGTTCAGAGACAATGTTAATTTTCTTGTTCTAGATTGATATGGTGTTTCAATAGCTTTTTTTATTAGACCAACTAGTAAGATAGATGGGACCTACTGTGTTAATGCTATAAACCGAATGTGTGGTGTTCAATTGTTTGTTTAAAAGCTCATTACATTCAGGAGGGCCTTCTTGAACTCACTGGTATGAATGGTCTCTAAATGCAGATATGGATAATTTGGGTGCCTTTTGGTGATTGCTCCCAGATGTTTAAATATCCTTAGAACTGCTGGCTGCGGGGCAAAATATACAAACTATAAACAAATTATCAGGGCAGTGGAGTTCATGAGGGAATTACAGTATGGGAAAATGAGTACATTTCCAGTTACATCAGGCCGTAGCATATTTAGATGTGCAACAGTAAAATACAGCACACGAGCAAATCCTCATGATTCAGGGGCATGTGAGTCTTGTATACTTAACAGCACGAGCTGCCAGGGTCATGATCTCCCTGCTTCCAGTTATAAAATATTGTACAGCACAAGTCAAAAACTTTGTAAGTAGCTGTAAGTAGAACAAAATAAGATGGCCCGTTTAAGGTATCCCATTAAAGGATGTACAGTATTTTGAAAGGGGCTGATTCCAAGTGACTACCAATCTGTGGGGAGTTGCCAAGTAGGTGGCGCTGTGCCGGTCGTGCACTTTTGAAGGCTGATCTGGAGATAGAGCCGTCTCGACAAGACGGCAACGCTTGTGTCTTCCTGTACACCTGTAGGCTAGTGGCCATACCAGGGAGGGGACACATTGTTCAGGCACTGTGGATCTCGCAGTGCGCTTGAAAACTCAATGGCTTGACAGCCAGGTGAGCCACAGGACCTTCCCTTCCTCCTCTCGTCTAGTGGGGGAACAGAGACGCGCAGGAACAACCCCACACTGAGCGAGTAATAAATTGGCGATTCTTAGCTGGCAAAACACAAGCATTCAAATCAGAGGATCGTGCAGCAGGAAGACGTGCACGAGCACTTGTAAAGCTGTGCCACCAGGGAGCAGCTGTTTCAGGTGATCAGTCGACTGGGTGAGCAGTCGAAAACGTGTTGTAGACGTCATGACTGCTGCCCAACACGGCTGGGTTTCGGAAGTGGCAGTGAGCACAGTTACTCCCCTGCGGCCTGTCGGACAGATGCTGTACATTGATAATGACGCACGCACGCACCCCCCTGATTGTTATCTTTGGCCTTGTTTTGTGTCAGAACTCTTGCTCTTTTTATTTGCCTTCTGCTTTAATATTTCATCGGAGATCTTACCCAGTGCCAGAAAAACGATCTGGCACTGGGTAGCTGCTCGATGGAATCGTGCAGAGCAGACCTCGCTCACATGGCAGACCTGGAGAATAGACAGCTGTAAGATCAATAGGTAAATATTTTTCAGGACATCAGCCTTTAGCTAGAACATTTATTTGATTATTGTTACAGGGTTCCACTTTGTCACTGGCTGCCTGCTTAATATTTTCACTGTGTTTCCGTTTTGTGAGATTCAAAAATAGAGCAGCTCGAAATTCAAAATGTTCACACATTTCGGACATCAAATAATGCCACTGTGCTTTTCCTTCTATGGGGAAACAGTATTGTGTTTTATTGTTCTCGGCATTAACTTCTTGCAAGACTGCTTGGTAGAAAGGGAGCCTTTAAAAGACTTCTTCTCCAAAATTAATCCACATTTAGGATTAATTTAGTGTACTTGGCTAGATAAAAGGTTTGTTCATGCCTCATCTTCACATTTTTTTTCTGCTGTACTTTTAAGTGTAGTTCTTACAACATTTGAATATACTGTAGTACAAGGACAGAAGAGAAATGACCATTTTCACACTTTAGTGGTACAGTATATGTTATATCTTGAGTTTTTACCTCTGCCTTCCAGTGGGAAGTGTGTCTAATGCATTGCTCCAGATGCTAAGTGTTGTGGTTCCTAAATAGAATTATTTTACCTTTCTAAATAGAAACACTCTTCTTACATGCCTAGGGTGCACTGAGTTCTTGTGCGTGGATGTTTTCCGCTGGGATCCTTTTACATCCGTGACACATCTCAATTTTCCACATGACTGCACGGAGCTCTCCTGAAGGTCCTTTGAGGTTATCTTGCCTGGAATAGGAAATCTTCTGCAGAGGGTGCCCAGACTGAAATTCTGCTTGGGCCCCCAGGGGAAAGTTTCTCTTGCTGGGAAGGATTCATATACTTATCCCATCTCAATAACATTTATTATGAAATATTTTCTTACAGGGTAAAGTGGATACATTTTTCTAAGCTCATTTGTACTCCAGATGTATTCTAATAAGGGGGGCACAGTTGCACAGAAGTTAGCATAACTGCCTCTTAATACTGGTGATAGACTCTGGATCACCTGCGATCCCGAACTGGAAGACGAGCTCAGAAAAGGAACGGATGTTTTCAAATCTTCCCCGGTGTGTGACATATATATCCATTCCTGGATTCATGGGGTCAAGACTTGTTAATACAAGGTGTTTGACATTTTCTCACAGAAGTGAAAGTGCTACACTTTTTTTCCACATAAAGCCCAGCAACGGGTGATCAAGTTGTTGTTCAGGAACAAGCTGCGCAGCCATGGGATGGGATTCTAGAACATGTTTGATGTTCTGTATCATGTCCTTCCTTTAAGAAACTGCTGGAAAAGAGACTCAGATCATTTAGTAGCTAAGAATCAAACGGAACAGATGGACTGAATGTCTTCCTCGTTTTTGTGACCTTCTTTCTTGTACAGCTCTCACTGATAACTCTGCTAGATGCCTGGTGTATCATAGGAGCCACACCTGCAAGGCTGGCTGACCAACAGCGCTAACAAGCATCCTGTGGCTGGCCAGTCTTGAGTCGCTGCTTGTGGATTCCTCATCTCCTCAGGCAAATGACCAACAGAACCTTCTACTGCTCAAACTATATACTACAGGAGTCCCTGACACATAGTTTATGTTCTTCCGCAGAATCTGAAAGACACACTGACAGAACCTGTTGTACTAAACGTGGTACTCGGGTTTGACACGCAGTCAGTTTGAAAAGCATTTGTGTAGATGATTCAGTTTCTTTCCAGGGCTTACCTAGACAAAGGAAATTAGCCTCCCCTGCCTGTCGAAACGGACTGTTATTTAGAAAACAACCCACGTGTGTGTGTGGTATGATAGTTAAAATGACTGCGGTGGCAAAAATGACAACATTGCCTGTAATTTTAGAACAAGCGGGAGTATTTGTCGTTGCAGTGTATTGACCGCCGGGCACGCTAAACAACCCAGAAGGGGCACAGAGTTCGACGGGGGGTGGAGTGGAGGGCGGAAATTTTCCATAAACGCCAAGGAGTGGCTGTTCGAGGCCTGGCGGTGGTGTCTGCCTCTCCGTACGCACGGTCCACACAAACATGCGGCTCTGCAGTCAACAAACGGAGGGTTTGCCAAGGGGTTGTGACCTTTGACCTTTGACCCCCCCACCAGTAAGGCCTGTCCTGTTGTAGCTCGTTCTAGGAGACAGCCCTGCTGTAGGGTGCACTTTCACTTGCATGATCCAAAATCCTCTGAAATTGGTGCATACTGCATCTACTGTATGTTTTACAGCCTATGGATAAGACATGTTTTGTGGTCCCCTGTGGTCTCTAGCCTTTACTGTTCAGGAGATGGAACAGCAATGTGGCCTCCCTTCTGGCAGTTTCTGAAAAAAAGGGAAGAGTCCTGACATGGCCCTGGTTCTAGGACTTTAGTGAAGCTAACCCCAACTAAAATCTTCAAATTTTTATATCCCAGAACACACAAAGTAAATCAACTAATCCAGACCTCAGTTTTTATCATTACACTAGTTCCTTTAAAACATCATGACCAGATAGGAATTGGTCCCTGATTCCATCTGTACATACCAAGTCCAACAGGAGGTAAGGATACTGTTGCCAAATCTGGAAAATATAAAAGTGGAACGAATGATTCCCTGTGCCACTAAAAACATGCAGGGAAGCAGGAAATAATGACAAGCTGAGGGCACTGATGGCTGATGAATATTACTGTTTGTTTATGAACCATGACTGAGTTATGGAACCTTCGCGGTGTTATTTGTTTTAAGAGAACGTGGCTAAATATTATCTGGCAAATGGAGTTGCAAACACCACAGTTATTATTGTTCAGCGCATGCATAGGATCGTAAGAATATACAGTGCGTTCACAAGCAAGAGAAAGCCTTTTGGCCCATCTAGCCCATTTGAGAGCTCATAACTAATTGATTCAAGGATCCATTGCAGTCAACTCTTGAAAGAAACAGGGGCATCAACTCCCAAAACACAGCTGGGTGGCTTGTCCCATGCTCCCACAACTGTTTGTGTAAAGAGGCGCCTCCTGTTTTTGGTAGTTTCTACTCATGTCCTCTGGTTTGTGTTTCACTGGGGGGAGCATGAAGAGCTTTGAATTGAATACACTCATCCAGGGAGATTTCCAGAAGTGACTAAATAAGAGCAATAGCACAATAGTACAGTATATATACATAGGAGGTGCCATACAGGACAGAGCTGTTAGAATACGCATAGTTTTAATACGACTAGCTGGTCACTTTCACTGTCTTTGTGCTTTACACACAATCAGCTTACCTGCAGTCAAAAAGTGCTCTCGCTTCAGATCGAACTTTTATATTTTTCAAGACTTTTGTATTTGTGTATTTGTGTTTGTATTATTCAAGACTAATTACAATTACGCATATTTTAAACACATAATTATAATGTATAAGGGCTATATTAGGGGGTCCCTTTCGGGAGTTGATGCTGGAGAAGTTACAGACGAAAATGGGAATCCTGCCCTATTTAAACTTGTTCCAGCCACTAGTCACTTACCGTCAACGATAGGGTTAATAGCCCCAGAACGACTTGACCTCCCTCTCCTGCCCAAAGTTGCGATTTCCACAAGAGGAGGAGCTACTGTTGACCAAAAAGAACCCAGCTCCCGTTTAAATCGAGCTTGGGGAAGCGGGCGCCTATAGCAAGAAATAGCATTTTGAGAGGTGTTTTGGATGTTAAATGACACGGCGGCACCGAGGGGTTTCGAGTTGCGAAGGTGACAAAGAGTTGCGCCTGCCGCAGCTAACGTCAAGTGTGAGGTGTCTCTTTACTGTTTTAACACTTTGTTAATGAAGTTTTAGAAGATTTTTTTTTAGGGTTTTGCTTTGGTTTTTTTGGGACTTGAACATGGTGCTGTTTCAACGCTGCGTACTCGGGGGACTTGTGCAGGGTCACCGCAGCCTGTGTGGAATCCAAACGGGAAAAAAGACCTGTAACCCGGCGTGGGCTTCGTCCACAGTTCGCTACCGTCCGGACAGCTGCAGCTCCGCCAGGCGCTACAGCACCACGTCAGGTTTGTGGGCTGTTGCCCTGTCAGAAATACATTTCACTTTTAAGTGAAGCATGTTTGTCAGCTAATGCATGGGAATTCTTGAAATTCCTGAAGTTTACCAACTACAGGGGTAGGGTAGCTGTTGAAACGCGTGGAACTGCGTTTTTCTGTTAAATATTTTTTTAAATATTTTTTAAAAGTGTAAAGGCAGTAGAAATTCTGATTTTTTTGGACGTCTAACGCTTAGTTTATCGTTTTTCAAACAAGCCTTTTCTTATTTGCAATTCCGTGGGTCTCTGACTGGGGAAAAATATTTTAGGTGTGGGTTGTATCCGAAGTACTCAAACATAACAAAAGAAACGTAAAGTCATAAACAAGGTTTTTAATTTTATTTTCCAAGTGCAGATCGGTACTGCGAGCTTCTTTTAAATAATACTCTACCAAAATTAAAGGGACACATTACAGAGGTGCCATTTTATTTTTTTCGAGAAGTTTTTTTAAAAAATTGAGACGTCCAATGGTTAGTAGCTGTCGTACATCACTTCCGGCTGAAAAAAATTCATAGAATAAACATTTAGCTGATCGCCCAGGATTGGTTTAGTAGTTTAAGTCCTCGCAGTCCTTTCGTTTTTCTCTTTAAAAAAACCCGAGGACGATAAAGACGACGTTAATGAATAAGCCTTTATCTAGCCAGATTATCTGGGAACAAATTCTTTACCATTGTTATCTAGATACACAAATCAGTGGGTCTCTCGTGTGTCGAAATAGACTTTTGAATATTATTAAATTGAGTTAGATTAGTTAGAGGTCGACATGGGACGAGGCGTCAGGTGGTCGGCACGGTTTCTGCTGTACGGTTTCTGCTGGGGCACTAACTTTGTGCTGCTGTGTCTCCCCAGTAGCTCTCCCTTCATTTACTTTTCAGTGGCCTTCCGCACAAACACTCGACAGATAACGGGGATCGCAGCCTTTGTACTGGGAAGTCGCCTCCGAGCTGGAGCTATTGCCCGGCTAGCTGTCTTCCAGTAAGGTGTCACGCTTTCCCCGGCTTGCAGATCCACCAGCCTGTAAAAAACAGGAAGGAAAATCGGGAGCAGAACACCGATTTCCAGCTCATTTGTAGCTGCAAAACTGAAGTCTTATATTACCATTAAAAGGGGGAAGCAGACCTAAGACTGTAAGCTCTCCTGTGCCACTGATCACCCTGGGCTGCCCTCTAGTCGTGCAGCCCTGGGCCCTACCTCCCTGGCACCAGACAGGGGGCGTCTAACCTGTCCTCCCCCCTCTTTGCCCTCTGTCCTGCTGTCCCGTGTGCCCAGTGTGTGAGAGCTGGGCAGGCAGGGAAAGCTGAGTGTCCAGGATTTCAGTGTATTTGGCAGCAGCCACTGCTGAGGGCCTGTTCCCTTAGCAACCCACTGTGTACCCTCTCCTTCAGTAAGCCTTTACTAATCCCTCTGATGTGTTTGCAACCACCTCTGGTCACTTGTCACAAGGAACGAGTTGAAGGCTAATTATTTGCACAGTGTTTCCCTTCTGCCCACGAAAGCAACGACAATTATGAACTACGTTTTAGAATTCAGTTGCCTATGGCCCAGTGGCCACGGAGACTGAAGTTGAGGAACAGTGACACAAAACATATCTGTAATCCCACAAATCAAGGAATGCGCAGCATAATGGAGAAATAAAGGCTGTTTAAAGAGAAAGTTGTCAAGTTGAACAATGTTTTAAACAACGTAAACAAATCTGTTTTGTAGTACACAAAAAGTCGATTGACGGTGTAAAATCACAGCTGCGATTTTAAAATGTGTGGAAATGTCCGCGAGGGAATGCTCAGCAGAAGAAACGGCCTCGGTGTTGGAGAGCCTGTCCGAATATTAACTCTCCCCATGCGTACTCATTGACTTCAGTCAGCCTTCCTCTGTGAAAATTAGGATTTGCCAGAATGTGTATTCATGGGCCTTTTATGATGTTTACTGGAGACTTGTTTTAATTGGTTGGGCCCCCGTGGGCCATAGAAAATTAAACAGTATTTGCGGTGGATACAGACCAAAGAGAAGCTTGATTCGCCCGCACCAGTGGCCGATGGGCTGTTCAAGTTCTCCTCCTGGGACAGATAAGATTCTATTCCTTCCTGCGGGGCTGATGTGTGTTCTCGTTTTCCAGTGTTGCCTGCCAGGTTTGTAACGATGCAGCGGAAGTCGTTCTGCTCATCTGTGAGACTCTCCTGTGTCTTATCTAGTCCTGCAGCCCCCTTGTCTCCTACACAACACCACAGGGCCTGTTGTGATATCAGCAGGCCCACAATTGCTCCCTCTCTCTCCATTCAGTCCCCACTCCCTCCCCCAGGCTGTGGCAGTGACCTGTAGGCCTGTCGCAGAATCCATTCTCAGCGGCTCATGACATCCGCGACTCTGTGATTCCCGCTAATGCGCGGATGAGTGAACGTTTGCTTGTTTGGAGTTCCTTTTTATTTAGCTGTATTTTTCATCTCTCGGCAGAAATAAGCCTGTTGCTACGGTAGGCCAGTGGTTGCAGCCCTCGGAAGATGACTAATGGCCATTCAGTAGGAGCTGAAAGGTGGCCCGTTTTAGAGAAGGAGGGAAAGACTAGTTACTGCTTCCTCTGGGAGTCCTCAATGTTTTTTTTTACTGAAAGGAATGCGGAAGAGAAGAGCTTGTTCCCTTTTTTTAGGAAGAGTCTGGAAACTGTTAAAAAAACTAAGACTTTTAGGAATGATTCTTTGTATTGTTTTCATGTTAGTCTTAAGGTTTTAGGGCAAGGGATGACTGGATCAAAACAACAGGTCTGCAGATGGTACAGCGAACATTTATCAGACAAAGATTCTGTCACCTAAATTTTGCTGTTTGGGAGTTTTATTCGGAAGTCTTTCAAGTCAAGACTTGAGGGACTTTGGTTCCCTGGCAAGCACTCAGAGGTGGGCAGTTTTTTTCCCTTTTATCAAAAGCTAGAGGCTCTGCTTGTTCTATTTAAACCTTGGTTCTCCTCTGCTGCTTCCATGACTTCATCTTTGGCAGCAACTGGTGCTCAGAAATGATCTTTCCATGATTATTTCCCAGTAGAACAGTCATTTACCACCAGGCCACCAACATCAGGCTTTATAGCTGAAAGAAATTGACAGTGAAATGAAGTGGAGATCTACAGACAATTTTGTTTCCTGATAAGATGAAGATTTTTGTGGATGGAAGTACGTACACCCTTTAATAAGTTCCAAATGACCAAATAACCTTAGCAGGTTAAAACATATCAGGGATATCTTTTGACTAAAAAGTGTAGTTTACCAAGCTGAACATTAATCCATCTACTTTGCTTTTTCTAATTCAGGGTGGCAGGGGAAACGGAGCCTATCCAGGCAAGCAGTGGGCACAAGGCAGGGTACACCCTAGATGGGACACCAGTCCATTGCAGGGCAGACACACACTCACACCAGGGTCAATTTTCCCAGAAGCTAATTAACCTGCTGGTATGTGTTTGGACTGTGTAAGGAAACCCATATTGACCAGGGGAGAACATACAAACTCCACACAGACAGCACACCCAGGACTGGAATTGAACCAAGCCCTGTGTGTTTCTGTACCATAAGCAGTACATATTGCCCTTAGTGAATTACCTTGAATACTAGTACTTTGTAGCTCGATTGCATCTGCTACGTCAGACTTCATGTATTGATGATAGTGCAGTGTGAGGCCCAGTGATAGGGTGGCCTTCAAAAGATGGTGCTGCCTGTGTCATGTGATGTTCAGCGAATCAGGTGGCAGGGCAGGGGTGAGAGGTAGGTGTGCGTGCTTGTGTCTGGTACACTGCAGCGCCCAGACAGCGGACGGGGCTGTTCCCCTAATTCAATTGGGCTAATAAGCTGATAGTGAGAGGATGTGCTGGCCGTGCCTCGCTAATTATCTCCGAACAGAACGGGCTTTTGTCCCCAGGCCTCTGTCCTGTCTTGAGCTGGCCAGGCCAAGTTAACCAGATTAACTAACACTTACTGCCATTCTAGTTTCTGCTCTTGCCCTGTATCCAATCCTGACTTTTTCCACTCTATTTTTAGCCCTGAGCCAATTCTTCTTCTCAAATTAACGGGCAGGCGGCTCAAACAGGAAGCCGCTGGTTTCCAAGATCAACACGGATGTTGTGTTGTTGCTGGTACCCAGCTGTCCGAGCTTGAATCGCTCCTGGGCTCAGGTCTGCGGCCCTGTTGATTCGCACTGTGGACTCGGTTAAAGGCTTTGCTTCAAGGTTGTTCTATTTACAGTAACACTTACTGGGTACTCCTTGTCTGCTGCAGTCTGTTATCAAGCTGTCCCTTGAATCTTTCAAACCTCATAGCTGCCAGGCTGGCCTACAGCTAAAAACAGCGAAACAATACTCCCGTGATCCCTCTCTCCTCCGCCCTGTCCCGGACCTATCTGGACATAACAAATGACATAAGTCAACCACAGCATGACTGCATTAATGGATCCATTTAACGATCAGCTGTTTTTTCCAATCCTCTGATATATTCAGAATTGGGCTCATGTTGTTGCAGTGGTTAGCATTGCTGTCTCCTGCGTTCAATTCCAGACCCGGGGTGCTGTCTGCGTGGAGTTTGCATGTTCTCCCCATGTCCACAGACTGTAGGTTAGTTTAATCGGCTCCTGGGGAAACTGGCCCTGCTATGAGTGTGTGCGTTTTTGTGTCTGTGTATGCCCTGCGGTGGACTGGCATCCCTTCCGGAGTGTATCCTGCCTTGCACTTATTTCTTACTGGGATAGGCTCCGGCTCACCAGTGACCCTCTATTTGATGCAGTGGTTAGAAGATGGATGGATTTTCAGGATCATCAGGTGTTCTCCATATACGAACATTACTTTGGGGGACAGGGTGATGGTTGCCTTCAAATCAGCTCCATTGTAAAATTCGCCTGTTAGTTGTTTGTTGCTCGACAGTCAAGGTGCCGGTTAAGGCGATAGTGATTCACCGAGAGCTGAGCTTGAGCTCCATGATCCAGATGTTGGTAGAAGACTTGTCACTAGCTGACTGTGACTGCTCGGGGAGGTATTAACATTAGTCAGCTAGGGAGCTCTCTGAATTTTCAAACACATCAGTGACATCACTGAGAGAAGTACCTCCTGTCAGGTTCCATGAGCCTAGCGGTAAATCACGTGCTAATCTGGTGGGTGAAGTGGGTTCTCACTTGGGATGCTCTCCTATATTTTATGTGCTTTGGAGTGAAGAACTCTCGATGTATGCAAGCAGTTATTCTTATGGATGTGCAGGCAGGTCTGTCTTTGCCACCCTTTGCCAGAGAGCTCCTGATGAGTGATGAGGACTGTCTCTGTGCTGTGTTCCCAGGCATTGCAGGGGTGAGAGAGCGCACTCTGATTGCGGTGAAGCCTGACGGGGTCCAGCGCCGCCTGGTGGGCCAGATTATGCAGCGCTTTGAGCAAAGGGGCTTCAAACTGGTGGGCTTGAAGATGCTGAAGGTGAGGCAACACAGCAGGGGAAAATAGATCTTCGTTTACTTACATATTAGCAGCAGAGTCCATTAAGCAATCAAGCATCAATCGGTCTTCTAACTGCACAAATACAGAACTGGCTGGATCAAAGTCATTGGAATGTCACATCATTTCGATTAACACCTGTGTCGAATCTTCTGAGCGATATTTCAAGGCCAAAGAGTGTCATGATTGGGGTGGTGATAAAGAGCTTTAAAACGGCATCTTTTCACATTCAGAGTCTTGCAGTGGAAGATGCTGTTCTGATTTGGAAAAGTGGTAGGTTAGAGGTATTGTTAGGAACCCGGTTTAATGAGTTAAAGGACAGTAAAGAAATGATTGATGTAAATGAGGATGCAGGGTCTCGCGCCCTGTTTTAGTTGTGCTATTGGCTCATGGAGGTCCCTATTGGGGTCTTTCTTTTTGCAGCCTTTTTTGGAAAGAAATTCCCCAAATTGTGCACTCGTGCAACAGTGCAAAATTAGCAAGGTAATGACAGGAGTCCTGCCCTGGCTGCAGACAAAGTTGGATTGTTCCTGCAGCGTTCTCAGGCTGGGGAGAGATTCAGGAGTGCGAGTGCTGACCTTTCCTGTGTCCTGTGTCACTAGGCTTCTGATGACCTCTTGTCTCAGCACTACCGTGACCTCCAGAAGAAGCCCTTCTATCCCAACCTGCTGCGCTACATGACCTCTGGGCCCCTAGTGGTCATGGTGAGTGGTCAATAATTGGAATAAATGGAAATCAATCTCAATAAATGGAAATCATTATAATTATAATTTCTTACACTGGATACTCCAGTCAAAGCGCTTTACAGGTAATGGGGATCCCCTCCACCACCACCAGTGTGCAGCCCCACCTGGATGATGCAACAGCAGCCATAGTGCGCCAGAACGCTCACCACACACCAGCTCTCAGTGGGGAGGAGAACAGAGTGATGAAGCCAGTTCAGAGATGGGGATGATTAGGAGGCCATGATTGGTAAAGACCAATGGGAAATTTTTTCAGGACCTCAGTTTTACATCTCATCCCAAGGACGGCGCCTGTTTACAGTATAGTGTCCCCGTCACTGCTTGTTTGTTTGTTTTTTTAAATGGAATCGGGGATTATTTTTTCCATTTTGCACCCTTCCAGTTTGGAATTGGCAATGGCCACAACAAGCTCTGAGGCAGGATGGGAATGCGAAGCCTGTATCCGAGCTCTTCTGACATGCCCACCGTCGAGCCACTTCCTGATTGACATGCTACAGGTTCCACAATGCCTCAGGCTCAGCGAGCATGTTTTGTGCTTTCTCTGGTAGGTGTGGGAAGGACATAACGTAGTCCGGACGTCCCGCCTCATGGTAGGAGACACTAACCCAGCAGAGGCTCATCCTGGGACAGTTCGTGGGGACTTCAGTATACACATTAGCAGGTGCCTTCCTCCTTTCAGTTTGCTTTGAAGTGGTCAACACCTTCTGCATACGGGTTGTGTAAAAGCTAAAGGTGTGAAGTTATGGAAGGGTGTCGGTCACCTTTCTGCTCGTCTGCTGTACCTGGTCTTTCTAGCATGGCGTGAAAACTGTAGGAAGAATTTGAAGCATTGAGATCAAATGCTGTGATTCTCGGATCTTTGAGTTTATGCATTAGCCCAGGTCTTTTCCACAGTTTGTAGTCTCTAATCGTCGCCGATTGTGGACTGCCTAAAGATCACGTGATAATAATATTTCCTTATGTAGCACTTTTCTGGAAACTCCACTCAAAGTAATTCCAGGTAATGGGGATCCCCTCCACCACCACCAGTGTGCAGCCCCACCTGGATGATGTGACAGCAGCCATAGTGCGCCAGTACACTCCCCACACACCAGTGTCCCCATCACTATACTGGGGCATTTGAACCCACACAGACCGCAGGGTGTGTGCCCCCTGCTGGCCCCACTAACACCTCTTCTAGCAGGCTTGCACCTGCTGAGCTTCAGTGGGCCGCCAATGGTGAGTTGCAGGGTGATATGGCTGCTGGTGAACTGCCTTCACACTGGTTAGGAATTTTGAGAACGTCCTCTGCAGCGCATGTGTATGTATTGTATATATGTCAACAAAGTTCATTTCCTGTTAAGAAGACCCGTTCTGTACATTAGCGGGACTTGGCAGAGGGATATTAAGCGCTGATTTTCTCCAGCCTTCAGGTCCATATGTATGCATTGCAAGAATCTGGACTGGCTGATATTAAGTACACTTAACAAGACTGCTGTTTGGTAGGAAAAGCAGTTCCATAGTAAGGCTAATTGGCTCTGAGATCTCTTCCTGTTTATGGTAACTCAGCACCTCATTTACTACAATCTGATGTCTGATGTAGCCACAGATGACACTAGTCTAGCTTCCAGGCTCACACCTGCTGAGCTTCAGTGGGTCGCCAGTTGAGAGGTGATGGGCAATATGTCTGCGGGCTATGTAGGTAAGCAAGGCTAAGACGATTGCTTATTTGCGTCTGCAATGTGATCCGTGTCAGTGGGATGGGGACACCTTGTTTAGTGCCAACATGCGTCAGGTCTGTCTGGTGCAGTGCTGCTCATCAGGCCCATCCTGTGGTGTGTGTCCTTCAGGAATGTGGTGCATGCCAGTGACTCTGTGGAGGGCGCCCAGAGGGAGATCCAGCTGTGGTTCAGCAGGAAGGACCTCATGGACTGGGACTCCTGTGACCACAGCAGCACCTACCAGGTGTGAGAGAGACCAGCGGAGGACCGTGAAGGGAGGAGGAGACTGGGACTGGGGGTGTGGAGACAGGATGCACCATTACTACCTCCATCTGCACCCAGGGGTGCAGCCCTTGTCTCCCCCCCAAAAAAAACTTTTCCCTGGTTGGTGAGAAGACTTATGAAGCTAACCATCGCCAAAGCCCCAGGGGAGACGCACAACGGTATCGTGCTGGATTCTCCCAGTGCGGTCAGGGATCGCGCCAGCTCTCCCACTCTCTCTATCCTCCTGTAGCACAAAATAGGGATCAGCAGTTTCCACCCTGGCTTTTAAGTGTAGATGTAGAGCAAGGACAGTTCTTACAGTCGGACATCTGGGGATTGTGTCTTATGTACGCCTCCTTACAGAAGAGATGAAAGAGGAGGGGAAAAAGGTCAGGGGTGTCCATTGACGTGAATGATCCTCCTTCCTGAAATCCCGGCAGCTCCTGAGGGCTCAGGGATCCCCCGCCTCGGCATCCAGGAGCTAAAGACATGCACCCCCACCCCACCCCGATTCCTTCACCCCTGGGAAGCTGAAAACCGGGTTCATGTTGACACACCCAGTCCACCCCTCTGGAGTTATTGAGGGCCTAATTGTACCAAATCAGGAAACCGTGCAAAGCAGCCCAGTCTTTGCCTTCACTGTGTTGTTTTAAAATAAACTCTGTATGTGGTACTTGTTTGCCTGGCCTGTTTTATTGCTCTTTCATTATTCTAGCGTGAAATCGGCCTGCGAGGCCCTGAGCACCTTGATCTCCTGTCAAACCAAGGACATTCAAACATTGTTTGATTCTGGTCTGTCTGTGTGGAGTCTGCATGGTCTCTTTCGCTCTTCTTCTTTGTTTCTGTGGGTTTTGTCCAAGTGCTCTGGTCTCCTCCCAGCTCCCAGAGACATGCTGGCAGGGTTAATACCCATCTCTAAATTGTCCTAACATCCGTAAGTATCCCAGCCTGTGTATGGACTAGGATGGGATCCGGATTGCTCAGCTCTCGCCTTGAGCAAGTGGCTTTCTGACGATGAAAGGAATCGAATGCAAACGTGAAGCCCAGTAAATAGAAACATTAACATAGCCACTACAGCTGGGGGGAAAGAGCTGCAGGCTATCCTCCATTATACATGTGAGATATTACAATACTGGCCCACCAAAGTGACCCACAGTGGACAAAATTGCTAGACATACCCCCGTCAAAAAAGGAGATACTTGGATAGGAGATGAATTTTTTTGGTCGTGTAATACTTTGGGACGAACTTTTGATTTGTGAATTATGTCCGTGTGGGACTTTTGTAAGCCGGCTACATATGGATTTCATGCCTACAGTGCTTTAAAATAGAGCCCAGAGGAAAATCGGATGTTCTGAAGATTCCTATTGACGATTCCTATTTTCAATGGCTTTGACAAGAGAACGCTGCAATGTATAATATCACTGCTAGAACGGTTTGGTTAAAAAAAGTCCGTGGTATACAAATTTATGGGATGTTTAATACAAAACGTCACACGTATTCATTAAAAGTCTAATATCCTGGCTGGGTGTGTCGCGTTACCGTTAGCAAGTCGCAGTTGTGCTGTCGGTTCTGCTCAAACAAGTTACGTAGTCGAGGAGCAGCTGAAGACTCGCATATAGTCTAGATATTTTGTTAGAGCCTTGTGTTCAAAGCGACTTACATTTGCATTCATTGATACCGCTGGGTATTTTTCTGGAGCAATTCAGGCAAAATACCCTGTGCAACAGGATACAACAGCAGCGTCTCACCTGGGACTTGAACCCACAACCTTCTAGTTGAGAGGCTAGAGCCCTGACCACTGCAGCAATAATAATAATAATAATAATAATAATAATAATACCTTACACTTATATAGCGCTTTTCTGGACACTCCACTCAAAACGCATTACAGGTAATGGGGACTCCCCTCCACCACCAACGTGCAGCCCCACCTGGATATGTATAATAATTATTAATTATATGCTCTTCGAAAAGTCACAATTAAATACATTATATATTACTAATAGTATTAGGAGCAGTATCAACATTGGTGTGTAGTGAGGTCACAAAACAATAAGCCGCTCTGGTGAAACACTACAAGTACCAGAAAGCAACGCGAAAGACATGACGTAACGGTTGTCCTCGGTCTCGAATAACATCTTCCAAACCTCAGAAGGCGCCGTACCGACAGAACGACGGGCTGGAGTTAACACGAAGGGAGTATAATCCTGCTCGTGATACTGCTATTCAGGTAACATTTGCGTTGTTATTGCATGGAATAACCCTCTTTACGGCGAAGCAGCTTTAATTCGGTTTTTATGCTGCCGTAAATTATGCCCCAAACTGCTGTAATGTACACAACGAATTTCCTTGTGTTTTTGGTAAAACCCGCAGTGCTTTTGCAATAGAATTGCTTTTGAATGACAAATCCGGGCGGTTGAATAAACTTCCATCTGCTCTGATGACACGATATTACAGTTTCTGTTCTTGCGTGTTAGTCTGTCGTGCAGAGTTTGGAGCAGCGACGCGCCGGGCATATTACAGCATTTGGACTTTGTAGCGTCGGGAACGGCGGCGTGGCAGTTAGCGCTGCTGCCGCCTCACAGCTCTTGGTCCCGGGTCCGACCCGGGAGTGGGGCGCTGTCTGGGTGGAGTTTGCATGTCCTCCGTGAATTTGTGCTTATTGCTGGGGCTCCGGTTACCTCCCGCCTCAAGAAATGCTTTGCTGAAGTAGTTAGTTGGGGAGTCCGTGTGCCTTTCGGAACAAATCTGATGGACATCCAACTCCATTCACCCCCCCAAACCAGACAATCAAACAAAACGTTATATAGGTAAACAAAAATGTGGAATAAATGCTGAGCATGTCAGTGACTTGTGAGCGGACAACATCTACGGCTTTGCTGCTCTGTCAGGAGTATTTGAATAGTATCTCAGCGTCAGCGCCTACCTCGATCAGAGAAGGTGGGTGGGGCAGCGTTTATTCTCACGTTTAAAACGCTGCAGGTGACACCTGCGTTCCAGACGCAATTATCCGCTGCGTGTTTGAGGTCTTCACCTCCCCCCCGCCTGTGTGCGTTCGCTTGCGAAACCCCTCTGATCTCCCGGCAGCCGCCGCCATGGACGAGCACCAGCAGGTCGCCGTGAATCCCAACACTGCCGAGATGCCCGAGGACGTGGAGGCGGACGAGTGTCTGACGAACTACAGCTATGTCTACAGCCCGGACCTCCTGAAGTGAGTGTGGGCCGACCTGCCAGTACCGAGCTGTGACAGTTGTGGTTCTGCGAACCACAGGCCGGGCTAAACCAGGTCTTTCCCTTCCATTCATATCAATGGATATCACTGATTTTCTCTTTATTTGTCTTGCGGTTACATAGTGTATGCGCTTGGATAATGCCTGTACCCCAGTTGACTGGCAGTTGAGAGGGTGACTAACCATTTTGTACAGTGTTCAGCAGTTTGCACTGTACTGTGGCTTTTCAGTCGTCCAGAATTCAGGTTGGGCATCAGTGAAAGAGGCAGTATTGAAGGGCTGTGTGCTTGAACAGTGACCGCATAGGCTGTGTTCCAACTAAACGCTAAACCCTTCCTCCAAGTCTGCACTTCTGTGACGCAGAACAAGCTTGGACTTCAAGTGCGTGGGTATTTGGGGGTGCACCATTATAGAAGAGTAATTGGGACACCCTCGCGTGACAACACTCTTGGGTTACGTGGCTCACAGTCAAAATGCTCTCTGTTGTTGCTGCTTCTTCTTGCAGTGGTTATGCCCAGGTCTTTAGAGAATTATTTTAAAGAATTTGTTTCATTCTCTGCTCACAGTTTCATGGAATTGAAGGACACTACATCTGTCCCTGCACGAAAGGAGTGACCTATCGTGTTCATTCGTGTTGAGCAGGCTTAACTCAAACTGGGCGAAGCAGACTAAGGAAAACCTGGCAGTACAACTCTGTTTATTCAAAGCTTTGTGCTGTCTTAATACATTTGATCTTTTCTGCCCTGGTACAAAAATGACAGTACGAGGAACATAACCTGTTCATTCACATTAAACAGTATTGATTCAAAGTGGATAAACTAAACTAAATAAGGAAAACTTGGCACTACCTCAGAGTTTCATACTATTAAATACTCTGTCTTTTCATGTACAAATTATACGGCAAGTAAACAAATATTCAGCAGTCAAAATGGTGTGACAAAATAATCGTTTTATGTCAACACCTTGTACCTAAAATACACATTAATCTAAAGCAGCCCAATGAAATGTTGTTTTTACATCAAATGTTGAGTTTTAGAACTGTAATAAGGTTAAATTTTACTCACACGTAAATATTTTGTTCTCCATGGCAACTTCTTTCTGCCTTGATAGGTCAGTTAGAACATGAAATGTCACCGTTCTGTGGGGAATTCTGGGGAATTCCGTTCAGCGGAGTCTGCTCTGATGCGGACTTCCATGAAGGGTGCTTTGGACAAATGTGGCACCCTAAGCCCTTACAGACCTGGGAAAGGTGCATGTGAAGGGCACGAGACACGCAAGTGTGCATACTGGGACAACGGCCATAGTGTAGCAAAGCTGCAAAGGGTGCTTGACACCTGGTATTCACTAGGGGGCGCTGTCGGGTAACAGTGTTGGTTGTCACAGCCAATGGGCTTTTTTTCTAGTCACTTTTCCTGGGGTTGTAAGGTGGACAGCACAGCAGTTTTCCTCTCTTCCTCCCTGCAGGGACAGAGTGGCGTTCGTCACCGGAGGGGGCTCTGGGATCGGCTTCCGAACCGCAGAGGTCCTCATGAGGTGGGCGGCTCTTTGTTCTCAGCCGAGCTTGTCTCCTCTCGCACGACAGCAGCCTGGAGCTCCCCATCTGCTCTAACCACTGGGAGTTTACAGCCCTGTGACGACATGGCCCCTTTTATTAAGTCAGCTCCAAGCTGAGCAAATGTCTGTCTTAGTAGCAATTTCCTGTCTGTGATCAGCTCAGGAAATACAGTCGTTATGTGTCTGCAGTCTTTCCAGGTCTCTTTTTAAAGCACCAGCACCTGAGGAGCTGGGAGATGTTGGTAAACTGGTCCAATTAAACCAATAACAAGGTGACCCAGGCTTTTAAAAAGTGCTCTAGGTCCAGATTAGACGCGTAAGAGCTTGTAGATTACAGCTCTCCTGGACTGGCACAGGGCACTAAATCTCTGTATGTCTCAGGGTACTTAAGATACAGGCACTCTGTAGAACACATACTATATGAAAGCACCTAGATCACCACTGTGACCTGTGTCCCTGTCTCACCAGTGTAGTGTCATGCCAAATTGATTAAGTAAATTCCATCGGTCATTCATTTTTACTTTAAAGGGCAATGACAATCTCCATCTCAATCCATCAAAGATACATGGAGGCCACCTGAGGTGGCTGAGCTCATGCTTGGTGAAGCTGTGCCTTTACCTTCTGCGTGGAGCCTGCATGGGCTGCGTCCGTCTCTCACCCTGACTCTGCTTCTCCTGTTTCAGGCACGGCTGCGACACGGTGATCGCCAGCAGGAACCAAGAGCGCCTCTCAGAGGTCAGGCCTCCCTTTGCACACCGACTCACCACTGCTGCCCCCTCGCCCCGTCTCCTGGGCAGGGCTCAGTCAGAGTGAGCCTACAGAGCCGGCCTCCGGCAGCTTGCATTGAGACCCGAGACCTTTCGCTAGCTCTTGGAGCTCACATGACGTAGGGGTCTTTCTGGAGCCGTGAAGATTGATCTTCTGTGCTCGTGACGGGAGCCCCCTGCCGCGCCCTGCTGGCGGCGGGGCGCGGAGGGGGTGTCCCGTGTCGTGAGCGCAGTGCCGGGGTGTCTTTCAGGCTGCCCGGAAGCTGAGCGCGGCCACGGGCCGGCACTGCCTGCCTCTCTCCCTGGACGTGCGGCAGCCAGAGACCATCGCCGCCGCCGTGGACGAGACCCTGAAGGAGCTCGGCAGGATCGACATCCTCGTCAACAGTCTGTGTCCCCTCTGCGTCGCCGTGACAACAGTAGTTGGGCCTTAGCTGCCATCCCCAGACACCTGTGTGTTACAGTGGCCAGGGGAAATGAAACAACCTTCCCCTTAGTTTACCCATGAGTATTCCTGCTAGTGCCCGGGAGACTCCAGGGTCGATATGTTGCTGAGAGCCGAGAGATTCCTGGCTGGCTGATCTCTCCCTACCCTCAGAGCGCTCGGCCACTTAAGGAAATTTTATTTCTCACAGGATTAAGGGATGAAATACCCTTATTTCATACATAAAACTTTTGGATTTGGTGTTGCTGGTTGAACATTGACCTTTGACCTTTGTCTGGAGTCTTATAATCATAATAATAATAATTTCTTACACTTATATAGCACTTTTCTGGACACTCCACTCAAAGCGCTTTACAGGTCATGGGGACTCCCCTCCACCACCACCAGCGTGCAGCATCCACCTGGATGATGTGACAGCAGCCATAGTGTGCCAGTACGCTCCCCACACACCAGCTCTCAGTGTGTAGGAGAACAGAGTGATGAAGCCAGTTCAGAGATGGGGATTATAAGGAGGCCATGATTGGGAAAGGCAAATGGGAAATTTGGCCAGGATGTCGGGGTTACACCCCTACTCTTTTCGAGAAACACCCTGGGATTTTTAATGACCACAGAGAGTCAGGACCTCGGTTTTACGTCTCATCCAAAGGACAGAGCCTGTTTACAGTATAGTGTCCCCATCACTAGGCATTAGGACCCACATGGACCACAGGGTGAGCGCCCCCTGCTGGCCCCACTAACACCTCTTCCAGCAGCAACCTTAGTTTTTCCCAGGACGTTCCCATCCAGGTACTGACCAGGCTCACACCTGCTGAGTTGCAGGGTGATATGGCTGCTGGCAAATAAAAGGCCAGTGTCATTCAAGGTCATTTCAAGAAACAGCAACAGCAACAGGGAATGCCACAGGAGTCCAACAACATTAATTGAATGAGTTTTTCTAATGAGTTGGCTTTACTTAAATAGTTGCAAAAAAGGTTGACAGTGTTATTTGGAGACCTGGCTCAAGAGTTGAGAATTACTGCTCTCTCTTATGCAGGCAGCAGGTACATTTATAGTGCAAGATAATACAGCCAAAGCTGATGCTAATGTGTTACAGTATCTTCTCCGTACCATAGACCACAGATATGCTTGTGAATGTACGTGTCTTTTTAAATACTTGCAGAACCAGTCTGGCACAGCAAGGTCTTTTGATTGAGTCACTCTACAAACATGCTTAAAAGTTCATCTGAAGGAGATAGTCATCTCCTAATTACAAGGGAAGGCATTTGTTTCCATGAACTTCCTTGATGGCTTAAGACCGATTATTATTTTTTCATTTGTAAGTCTAAAATCGACTAAATATACATGTATAGGTAGTAGAGGAGTGACACAAGAGGTCAGCACAGGTTGCAGATGGATGAATTTGAGACCCTGGTGAAAGGTGGACACTGAGTGTGCTGTGTTGTGTGAACTTTCTAGATGCAGCAGGTAACTTCCTGTGCCCTGCTGCCTCGCTGTCTTTCAATGCCTTTAAAACGGTGATGGAGATCGACACCATGGGCACCTTCAACACCAGCAAGGTGGTCTACGATAGGTGGCTGAAGGTAAGAGGACCCGAAATCCCCAAAAGCTTCAGAGTCTCCTGTCTGAGCACTGACGACCACATGACAAAGCTGTGTGCTACATATCAAGTGTTCCTAGATGTCGGACTGTTGGGCTAAAATTTGTACTGATGAAGCAGGAAATCAGGAGGTATTAATTAAACACCTTGCATTGGTCCCAGCAAATATGAACTATCCTGAGGTGGGGGCTAGCTTGTGTATGAGCCTGAAGTTTCTAAAAACCTGCCAAAAAATATACTGCTAAGCAACAGGAGTCTGATGTGTTTCTGCAAGTATATATTTAGCATTTTCCAGAAGGCAAAATTACATTGAATTCATCTAATCTTGCAGTGAATTAATTTCAGTGTTTTCAATCTTTGAAGTCCAGAAAAAGAGCATTTCATACTCTTTATTTTTATACAAGTTGCATGTTTTACATCGTCTCAACATACTATCATGGCATTTCATCTTACAGCATTTGACATCTAGAGTAGTCCAGTAGTTGTGCTTAATTAAAAGTATCA